ACAGACTTAGTTGTTACAAGTTGTTCCAACAATTTGTTATCGTCCTGCTCCTGCAATTCAACAGTTTGTTAACAAACTTGTTGTGAGTGAACAACCTTGTAGCAACTTGATAAAATAACAGCATTGTTACAACTTGACAAGCCTGTTGCGAACACATCTTGTTGACAAGTTGTTGCGATATTTTTACGTGTGTACGACTAAAGACAATTGTTCATTCCAGTTATTTCAAGGAAAGTTGGTGTGTTGCATTGTTCCATGATCGTTTCAAAGATTTGCGAGCGGAAATACGCGAGATTCTTTCCAACGTCAAGGTAAATATTAAATGGTTGCTACGCTTGTTTTACTGAAAAGCAGATTCTTACACTGTTGTTTTATCCATCTATAGGGTCATGATTTAGAAAGTATGAAAGACAAAGTGAAAAAGCTCATTGACGAGGATTTAGAGGTTTGTTAAATAATACCACGTCTGGAAGTCTTTTATCTAAGAATTCACTAAAGTACACACGTAAATATCTCACAACTTGTCAACAAGACGTGTTCGCAACAGGCTTGTAGCAAGCTTGTCAACAAGTTGTAACAATACTGTTATTTTATCAAGTTGCTACAAGGTTGTCACTCACAACTTGTTGACAAACTGTTGAATTGCAGGACGATAACAAGTTGTTGGAACAACTTGTAACAAGTCTGTTGAGCTCAACAACCTTGTAGCAACAAGCCGTTGACAACTTGTCAACAAGCTGGGAACAAGCAGTGCGAACACATCCTGTTGACAAGTTGTTGGAACAGCATTGCTACAGGTCTGCTGCAGTTTGTTACAACTTGTGTTGTGCGTTTTTATGTGTGGGGACGGAAACCTCGTCTGAAGAAAATCGTCTAACTTTCCCGTTGTTCATTTACCGAGTTTCTTTTCTTAATTAAATGCCCATTTCCACTCAGGAAAATTTTCCGCGGAAAGAAAGTTTTGTAAAATGTGATTGGCCGACACAAATTTTCCGTCGGAAAAAAATTTTGAAGTTTTAACAATGATATTTTCAGAAAATTTTCTGTCCGTCGACATTTTTCTTGAGTGGAAATCGTGTAATCCAGAAGACTTTAACATGTGTATTTTCTATGTTTAGTTATCACCAGCAGACCGTGATAGTTTACACAGCAGTTACATGAAGTCACCAGCAAGAACGGAGATTGAGAAAACGTTGTTAAACTTCCTTACGTACAACTCTGCTCACTTGCCAATGTACGCCAAGCCCGAGATGGTGTGATGTGTCCTGTGGTGTCACGTATCCTTGTAAATTGTGTAAAATATATGAATTTAATATTTATGTGAATTTGTAAGATTGGGAAAACCGCCGTGTTGAAATATAGTTCAGTTTTGGTCAAACTATGGGGCTTTTGGTTACTTGGCTGAGACTTGTTGACACTATCAAAGTTTCTGTGATCACAGTAGGAATTTTGCGTGGGTAAATTCTAAGTTTTGAAGGATTTGTAAGAAATGTTTGAGGGAACTAGCTGAGTCATTGTTTAACACGGAGTCAGTTTCCTTAAACATTTCTTGCCTGAAACCTTCAAAACTAGGAATTTACCAATACAAAACTAAGAATTTACCAAACTTTGATAGTGTAAATCTGAGCCTTTAGGTAATACCCTCTGGGTAATACCCATTGAACTATAAATAAACTGGAAGGCTAACTCAGGGGGGGAAATTGAAGCCAGTGCATTTTAGTTTTTCTGAGTTATGAGCAGAAATACTCAACACTGAACGTTGGGCTATATATCAAATTGAAGCTATTGAAAAACGCTATTTGGTGAAGAAATTTCAAGACTTTAGCTAAAAGGGAAATATTGAAAAACTACAAACATAATTACCGATAATTTGCCGTTTTGCAGTTGTTTTTGTATTTTTTAAAGATTTTTCTTTTCGCTGAAGTCTTGAAATTTCCACACCGAATAGCAATTTTCAATAGCTTCAATTTGATATATAGGCCGACGTTTGGGTTCAAGTATTTCTGCTCATAACTCAGAAAAACTATTTTGGCTTCATCAAATCATAGGCCTTCATCATAGCAGTTAGCCTTCCAGTTTATTTATAGTTCAATGGTAATACCTTCATGTGGAAATAATTTTTGAGTACAGTTCAAAGAGTTCTTTCAATCTGGACAAATTTCATAGAATGGTTCTATACAGTTTAAACATAAAGATTAACAAAGTGAAACTGTAAGATTTACTCCAAGGCTGGAGTAAATCTTACTGTGCGCAGGCTATACTATCAGCACGTCTCTGACTCACGTACGATCAGCCTGGCAGAAAGCCAAACTCTCGTGACTAGCAGTGCGTACCGTAGTCTATCAAGATATGATGATCTGGAACTGAACTGAAGAAAAGTCAGTGTGTATTCGTCCTATAGGGATAGCTGAGATGAAACGTGCAACGGAAGAATATTTAATGAAGTTGAGACAAAGGATTTGTGCATGGTGAGGTATAGTTCAACATCAAACAAAGCTCTTCTATTTTGTGGCTTTGAAGTTTTCCAAGCTTCGGATTTAGCGCGCCAATAGAATTCGTCATGCAATTCTTCAGGTTTTCACTCGTTTCCAACCGTCCAACTGACGTTACATCATTTGATCAATTTCTAAAGTTGATTCTTTTTGGATTTATTTTATTATTTTGGTTAGAGTTAGGGGTTAGAGTAGGGGTAGGGTTTGAGTTAGTACTATAACCATTCAACACCTCTTCCATCTTCGGAAAATGACACGTCAGTTTGGTAGATGGAAACAAGTGCTGACCAATTCCCCATGCATGTGCTAATTCCCAGTTTCTCGGGAAAATTCCGCACGTGTTTGGGTTATTTACATGATATGTGTAAATTTCAAAGTCTAATTAATGGTGAGCTTTAATTGAGCAAGTGACGTTCTTGTCAAGAATGTTAGCACTGACGTCACACGAAAATTGGTGTGGCTAATTTTGGCGGCATTTGTGCACCATAGCGCTCGTGTAAAAAAGCAAAAAACTTTAAAAATCTTGTGTCTTATCACATGTGTTGAAGATTACCACAAACTGATACAAACACAGTTTAAAAATTCTGTCCCCCTCGGCATCTAACGTCCGTAGGTGTTGACATAGAACGTCGCTTGATTAATTAAGCTCCTGGGAAAATCCCGCACGTGTTTGCATATTTACATAATATGTGTAAATTTCAAATCTTATTGCTGGTGAGCTACCCCAACAGGCCCAACTGTATACTCCTCATAATAGAATGTCAGCTTGCTTATTACAGTAATTTATATATAATAGTGGCGCGCGCACTCGTAGAATGTAAAAATTGGAACATTTTGGAGTTGCAATTATGTCGGCAAGATTGTAAATTTCCCACTCATCTGTGAAATCCCGCCAGTCGCTTTGCCTTATGGGAATGGTTTTCCCTGGGAACACAGCAATATAAACACAACAGCGTTTCAGAGTCCTCTCAGAGTTCGATATGCAGTGGACAGTACAAGTGGAAGACGGGCCTCGTCGAGTGAATCATGCAGCTGTTTCCGTTCAAGATCGTTATGTCTTTAGTTTTGGTGGATTTTTTTCTGGCGACGAGTACTTACACATGGAAAAAATCGACGTTCATATCTTTGATCTGAGTATGACTTTATCAATTATTATTGAATTGCTTGATACACAGCATAAATATTTGGCCAAAGGCTGAGATTCCCGATCACAATTTGTAATGTTTGTATTACCACTACTGTTATTTGTTAACGTTATGACACAAAGCTTGTAAAATTTTTGAAAAAATTTCCAAAAATCCACTTATATTAATTTGTAACATTGCTATAAATTTGCTACATATACGAGATTCAGAGATTGTAATTATTTTGGGTCATACGTGACTCATGCCAAATAAATAAATCCTAAATGCATGTGGCAGTTTCCTTATCTAAATGCATGTGGCAGTTCCTCGTATTCTACTTTTCTGCTTTGCTCGGGGGACAACCTTAATTGAAATAGCTGTATGTATAATTGGGGCAATGCAGAAAACATCGATCCATACCTCCCCCGGCGGAAATTGGAAGTTTACCCCCCTACCCCCTTCAGATGTGCTAATATACTTATTTTTATCAGAAACAAATTTTTCTCCCCTTCTTCTCCGGACAGCAGAAATTTCCTCGGGCATTAAGGTGGATCATTTCTGGAACAACCCAGTACTAATCTGTACTAAAACCAGTAATTCTGTTTTGTGATTGGCGTGGCTTAATCAAAGAATCGCCCCGTTGAACCAGAGCCTTCGCAACATTTCAATTTATTATTTACTGTCGAAGGCTCTGGAATCCAGGGTAGACAACGTACAGCACTCATTTCAAATTCCATATACTTTATAGGAATTGTGGCATGTGATTTTCATATGCTAGAATGATAATCGTATACTGCAATTTTCAGTTGACCTTGGAATGTTTAAACAAAATGTTTTATCGTCATGTGATGTATGTTAAAGTGATAGCACTATGTTGTCAAGGCCATTTTTGAATGTTGTCATTGGCCCTATTCACATTAGAGACGGACAAGTCGTCTGGACGAACAAATCGTCTCTCAAAAATCGTCTCTCAAAAATCGTCTTCACAGACGGACAAGTAGTCGAACAAATTCAGACGACTTGTTCGTCTAAAATTTTGTACGACACGTTTTCACATCTGATGATTTGTCCGACTAAAAGAGGATTTTGAGACGATTTGTTCGTCTAGACGGGAAACGACAAAATGCGGACCCCAGGTCCATGGACTCCCTTCGTGGACCTGGTCCATGGACTACACTCGTGGACCACGGACCACTCCCGTGGACCACTCTCGTGGACCACTTGCAAAATTTCGCCTACCGAACAATAGACCAAACACTATTATTCCGAGTTTAGTGAGCCGAGATTGGCGGGAACTATTTCATTATTCATTTCCATTATTTATTTCACAATCAATTCAGTTTTTGTTGATGAACAGTGAATACTAAGTCTGTAAAAATGCTGAAAAAATGTAGTCAGGGTTCTATTAAAAAATATAGGAATACTGTGGAGAATCTGGAGGGGAGGGGAGGAGGGGTCAAAGGATTTTACTGAATTATTCGAATTTTACTGTTAAAAAATCACTTGAACTGTAGAAGTCGTAAGTTGCAATGACCTTTCAATGCCTGAAGGTCCTCTCCCAAAAATATTAATTTTTGAAGCTCGATTACTGCTTTTTAAGGGCATATATTCGGAAACTTTGCATTAAAGTCGTAATTGTACACTTATATTTTAGAACGGTCATATAGTGAATGGATTTAGAACTTCACATTTTGTGTAAAGTTTCCACAATGATAATAATGACTGAACTCGACTCGAGCACATTTTTGCATGCACAGTCAAGAATTCAAACCCCAAAAATCTGGTGTCTCGCAAGTGGTCCATGAGAGTGGTCCACGAGAGTGGTCCACGAAGGTAGTCCACGGACCAGGTCCACGAAGGTAGTCCACGGACCTGGGGTCCGCGTTTTGTCGTTTCCCCGTCTAGACGACTTGTCCGTCTTCTAATGTAAAAACGGCTATTAACATTAAACAATGGAGTATGTTATAATTGTAGTTTGCACGAAAAGTAAACAAAGTTCAATTAATAAGTGAATGTATTACTACATTTGAAAGTGCTCTTGTGCTCTTTCAAATTATCATACATTGCGTGCATGGCGATATAACTTTCGTTTAAACGTTCAAACATTTGGACAATTAACAACATAGGCGTTTCAAGGTTGAGTGAAAATCGCAGTACAACTATAACTGCATGTATTGTGTAGATAGGCCTTTATGTGATTTTAGTATTTTTCAACAAGTGAACATAACAAATCTTACAAGTTGATTGGTCAAATTTGACGTATTAAGCTGTTTATATATTCACCTACAGGTGAATATAACAGAACCGAAATTTCCAAAATGACGGCTAGCAGTTTTGTGGAAGTTACTGATAAAGAAATAAGCGAAATTAAAATAAATTCAGTCCAGAAAAACACAAAAGACTTGTGTATATTCGCCTCAGGCTTGTTGATTATGGGGGAATATTCACCTTGACTTCGGACATAGACACTCAAATTATATATATATGGCAGAAAGTGGCCATGAGTTTTAGGCCTGTGTTATGCCTGGTCACACTACACAATGATAACGATACGATAACTTGTATACACGCACTGATTGGTCAAAAATATATCATCGGACTGAAAAAAAACCCCGCTTGGGTGAGCGATTTTAAAATTGTTGTTGTCAAACGATAATTTCGTTGTATAGTGTGGACACTAACATATTTTTTTGCCAATCATCGCGTGTTTACAAGTTATCGTATCATTATTGTTGTGTAGTGTGACCTGGGCTTTATAACCACCTGATCAGACTGCCAAGAGGTTGTGTGGGGCCTGGGACAAACCTTTCCAAGGTGGCCCAGTATGACATCATAATTGTAAAAGAGGAGAAGCGATCACCCTGAGGACGATGCCAGGTGAATTATTTTGTATTTACTCTAAATATTTGCTAGCTAGCTTCTTGTTCAATTAAAAGCTGGTGGCTGGAAGGGGTTTTTGCAGTGGTTTGAACATTCTTGACCAATTGGTAGATTTTAATGTGCAGACTTGTATTGGGGAGGTGTATAGTCGTCATGCTTACAATGATTTAAAATATATTTTTCTCTAGACCATTTAAAATGGACCAAACTAAAAATACCAACTAGGGATGATGATGATTATGAATTTGTACCATACATGAGATATGGACATACGGCATCCGCTATTGGTGATAAGATTTACTTATATGGTGGTTGCAATGAACTATATGGAGCTTGTGATAGATTATATTGCTTTGATATAAGTAAGTAAAATTTACAGTAAGTGGCAGTCACATAGATTCAAGAATTCCTGCATAACTTAAATTCTTCTACCACGACCTCTCTCAAATAATTGCCCTAACTGACTAATTAACTCCCTTTCCCTTTTTAGGCAACCTCTCTAATTAGCCACCGCTTAACTAGCTTCTCCTTAATTAGGTCCCTCTTTAATTAGGTCCCTCTTTAATTAGGTCCCTCTTTAATTAGGTCCCTCTATTTAGTCCCTCTCTAATTAGCCCTGCTTTTCAATTAGCTACCTCTGTAATTAAGCCCCCTCTGTGATTAAGCCCCCTCTGTAATTAAGCCCCCTCTGTAATTAGACCCCCTCTCTAATTAACCCCCTCTGTAATTAAACCCCCTCTCTAATTAAAACCCCTCTCTAATTAAACCCCTTCTCTAACCAAACTCCCTCTCTAATTAAACCCCCTCTCTAATTAAACCTCCTGTCTAATTACTCCTCTCCAACTAGTTTTGCCCTCTAAATAGTCCCTTTTCTAATTATCCCTTCTCTCTAATTAGCTCCCTCTCTAATTAAGCTGCCTCTCTACTAACCCCCTCTCTATTTATGGTCTTCCCTCTAATTAAGCCCTCTCTCTAATCAGCCCCCTTCTCTAATTAGTCTGACCCTCTCTAACTAGTTTTGCTCTCTAAATAGTCGCTTTTCTAATTAGCCCTTTTCTCTAATTAGCTGCCTCCCTAATTCTGCACTCTAATTAGCCCCTTTCTCTTATTAGCCTTTTCTCTAATTAGCCCCAAGGTTCTCTAATTAGCCCCACAATATATCTTTCTTGCCAGATACATTCAAATGGTCAATGCCAGAAGTTAGTGGTAGCATTCCACCAGCACGTGATGGTCATTCAGCGTGTGTCATTGGTGAGAAGATTTATGTCTTTGGAGGATTTGAAGAAAGGGTAAGATGTTGAAGATTGAATTTATTGAATAGACATATAGCTACGCAGAATTGAAACTCCAATGTTATAATAACACAGACTAATCCACAACACAAATATTTAAACGTTGAACCGTATCTCCTGTAAAGTCCCGCTCAAACGAGGATGAAAGTTGACGAGAGCGTGGCAAACGAATTGTGAATCATAAACGCAGTTTCTCATAAATTTTGATTGTGGATCTCACGAGTGAGTGTGGTGTATGAAAGAGGCCAGAAGTCAAAGTAACCTACAAGTTTAGCAACTGCAAAATTTTGACGATGCACAGTAATGATGATATTGAAACACATTCAACCTTACAAAATAGATAAATTTGCCACTTGTTACATGTCAATATTCGTGGCCTCAGGTGGCCCATCACAGATGTTGTTCACTGTTCAGAAGTCATACATGGAAACACCCTTGATCACCAAGGCAAATAGTGGAAACGAAATGGTCAACTGGTTATTGTTATAGATAATGTGGATGAACAAATCTATAGTGAAAATCATTACTCAACGAGAAAAATCATGTACATTCAAGAAATATAGCTGAGCCAAGAATATCCAGACTGATGTGGAACAATAGCAAATCCAATCAGGCAAGCATCGTAGGAGAAGATTGTCCTGGATAAATGCAAATGCACTCTCATTTTAAGAGGCCTTATTTCAAATGTGAAACTACAAACTTGTCTTGAGAAACTCAGTTTTGTTGACGAAGACTCATTACCTTTTGTGCATCTTTGCAGTGGTTTTGCAGCGTTGCAGCTAGAACTGTTCATTGAACACAATCTTCAATATGAATTCTGGTTATTCTTGTCAATTTTCATTGATTCAATACTCCGACGTTCCACATGACCTTGGAGAACTTTTCACTTGATGTTGTTAACTGATTCATTAATGGACTACTGATTAACTGACTAACAAGCAGTAATTGAATAATTCACTAATTACCTCTTAATAATTGATCATATGGTTGACTCATAATTGGCCAGATAACGTAATAGTTCTGTAGTGGGTGGATGAATGAAATTGCCTTCTTTACCGATGAAGAAATGCAGTGTCACTCTCTTTCCTGCATTCCTGGAACGAAAAGTGATATTACTGCTGCTGCCTCTCCAATCCTAATTTCTCGTGGTTTTATTTTTCACAGGGAGAACGTCAACGTCAGGTAGGGTGATTTATGCCTATTTATTCTGACCAGCTGCTCAAGAAGCTCGTTTTTCTACGAACAGTACCACATTTCTTGGCTTACCATCATCTAATAAAAAGTACGAAATGACTATCATTGACATGGCGGTGTAAACTGGCTGATAAACGGAGAGAGGAATATAAAACCACTGCAAAATATCTGGAACCAAGAATGTCGCATACTTAAAATCTTTTTCATTTTGAAATGATTTAGTTTTAACACAATGTTTTCTATTTTATAGTCTGAATGTTTCTCCAAAGATGTTTACATTCTCGACACAAAAACTATGAAGTGGACACATCCTCACGTCTTTGTAAGTTATGCTGGCTGAAGAAATTTCAGAGTTAATGTACAATTATTATTTAATAAGCTTTGAACACAGACACGGAGTCACAATGATTAAAACGAGAAATTGGGACTTGTTTGGAGGATGCAGGAGTACTGGAATTTGAATTAAAGTTGGGTTTTTTTCAGGGGCAGCCTGCAAGCTGGCGAGATTTTCACACGGCAACAGCAATTGGTAGATACATGTATATATTTGGTGGACGAGGTAAGTTTTACTCTAACAAATCTTCAGTAGATAGGGATACAACTACCTGAAAAATACAAGGAGAACTTCGACGTTTCGAGCGACGGCCCTTCGTCTCAAACTTAGTAGCGAAGGGCCTTCGCTCGAAACGTCGAAGTTCTCCTTGTATTTTTCAGGTAGTTGTATCCCTATCAATCCGAAGTTTTGTTATTGCCGCTACCTACACTGGCACAGACAGTTCAAGTCTTATTCTACCATGATACGTGTTGGGCAATTTTCTTAACTTCTGTGGAAGAGTCGTGTAAATTATATTCGCAGTAAAAACTGAGAACTTGTCCAACATTTTACTCCGCTGACATGGAAGAAAGAATTGAGAATGAAAATTACCAGAAAAGTGAGATGCATTCTAGCTCCCTGACAAGGCCTCATTACTTTTCTGTTAATACGTTCTAACATACCATCGCCCTATGTCAACAATTGCGTTGCAAATTGAAGCAAAACTCCTGTAGTATTTTAAGTTATGCATAATTGCCATGCGCGTTTGCTTTCATGTGTTACGATTTTCACCTTGCTTTTCGTCTTTCTTGAATCTTTCTATATGTTTACTCAGGTGATGTGCTTGGTGAGGAGCACTCGAGTGAAGAAATCTACGATAATCAAGTGGTGGTTTTTGACACAGGTATATAGAGTATAGGAAATTAATTTCACCCTTTACCTATACCATACACAGTGTAAATATTTTACTCACAGTATACTGTATGTATCCTAGAAACGTATAGTTGGCATTGGCTTCTAACGAAAGGAATATCACCGATTGGGCGACGTAGTCATTCTGCAGGTAAAGTACGCCAGGTATTATACAGAGAGTACTTTAGGTAGAATAGAAGTGCTCCAGGTCGACTTCTGCTAGACTGCTAAGTCTGCTGGTGTGACAAGCATATCCGTCCCTGTTGTATCGGATATGTTATGAATGACAATCTTTGTATTTCAGTTGCGTATGGTCGGTGTATTTATTTATTTGGTGGATATAATGCTCTTGAACAGCAACATTACGGTGACATACTTAAATTCGATACAGGTAATGAAAATCTCTGTTTGATCCGTGCTCTCCCGAAAAGGTAGCGAAATTTGCATGGTGATGCATTATGTGGCAATGGTCTACATAATGATGCAGCGCTATACCATTTCGGAAGACCTATGGTTATGATCAACCGTCGTATATCATGTTTTTTTTTCTTGTTGATTTCTCGAATATTGAGAACACGGAAGATGCTATTGTTCAGATTGTATTTTCTATTTCTAACAACGATTGAACAGACAAAAGACAGTGGAGCACAATTGTCGTCCCCGGTGGCCACCCGTGTCCAAGAAGAAGGCATTGTTGTTGTTTGATGGGTGAGAAAGCAGTTATCTTCGGTGGATCAAGGTAACGGTCCATATGATGTAACATTTCTCGCACGTCATTTCGTACACTCGTAAAAATCTCCGATAACTTGTCAACACGATGTGTTCGCAACAGGCTTGTATACCAAGCTTGCCAACAAGTTGTAACAACGCTGTTATTTTATCAAGTCGTTACTTTGTTTTTACTTTCTAGTCCGAATCATGATGTTGCGAGTGAAGTCGAAGAAGCCGACAATAGTCTTCAAGACCACAATGATTTATATCTTTTAGATCTGAGTAAGTAGACAAGTTCCTTGTTATTACTGATTTATTGCCAGATGCTGTTTCAAAATTACATCCTTCTGGAAAGTACTAAGCCTTGGCTTTACAGCAATTTATCCGGTTATGTCGGTTGAGCGGGTTGACCTATTATATACAGGTTTTAATACATTTTAATATCATTCAGATCCATCACTAAAGACGTTGTGTAAACTTGCTGTTGTTAAATATAAACTATATGACGAACTACTCCCACAACAGCTCAAGTAAGTTATTATTTGTTATTCAACTATTGCATGTGCATTCCGTTTACATAGCCTGTGTGGTAGCGCTATATAATAGACCTTTCCCCTTATGAGTGAAATTTTGATCTAGATATGCCTGGTCAAAAATTTCATCACAACTTGAAAGAGCATCACAAAATTAGTAATATTCCGAAGTTTCGTTGCGAAATGTTGTAAAATGCGGATAATATAGCCTTGCGAAGTTTGCCGTTTTTCAGTCATTTTGCATTAGAAACGGGAAATTGATAATCAGATGGTCAAACTTTCACCTTAAATACTATATTTTTACAGACGTGAATTGGCGCACATGTTACCCAAACCTTCGCCACGAATACAAAATTCATCATTATCACAAGGTTAAATGGTTTCATGGAAATTCACGTGGAAATTCCAAGAAGTGCGACACTGCATGATTCATGGACGCATGCTTCACTCCCGTGGCGAAACGAGAGCTTTTATTCTCAAAGCAGAGATCAACAATCTTTGCCAAGAAACTAAATTTTATATTCGAAAGAACATTGTTTTATAAGATTAATTAATATTACACCAAATTGAACAATTTTACGTAAAATGTTATATAAATAAGTCGACATGCACGCGGGCTCGTGTATGATAACGATGTATAAAATGACCGATTGAGACTTCATTCGGTTTAAGCCATTCTTAAAATTCATTATTTATCTTTTTTACTCAAAAACATTTGTAAATTAACTAAGATTTCTATGATAATAAACTTGATAAAAGAAGTTAGCAGTTCATAAAACCTTTTAAAACCATAGTGTTATTGAAATGTTGGGTCAATCACTGAGCACGCGCACAATGTGTATTTCGAAAATCGAACAAACAAACACCTTTACAAGTAAGCTTTTAATTGAAGTCCGGATGAAACGAGTATGAGAGTGCATGAGAGTTGACAGTCACGCGAGCTTGGTTAGCTGTTCTTAATGCTTTCCCAACACTATCATGGATTCTATTAAAGTTAAAACATAGTTGGAACATTCATTGTTAATCTAGAGCTTGAAATGTCCCCCCGTGGGCAATACGTGACCACTCTCATCAGCTCTCATGCCATTCATCGTTTGACCCGCGGGGTTAAGGACCCTAATTATGAATATTCATGCAGCAGCTTAGTATTGGCTACTACTAAAAAGCGATACAGCGATACAACGATACAGCGATACAGGAACCGAAACCTGGAACCGGAACCTGGAACCGTGCATAATTTATGCAAATTAGAGCATTTTGCACCACATCAGATATATATGATAATAATTTACAGGGGGGGGGACGCAATTCAAAGATAGTACAATATATTACAAGTGAAGCATTTTGATTTTCTAAACAAAAGGAATGAACATCGTTGTAACACTATATTACAAAGTAAAACATGTTTCGTAATTGCGCGGCGACTCTTTTTGTCTGGTTTGATATAACTGCATGTGACGCACCAGGGGCGGATTTAGACCGTTGCAACTGTAGCATATGCTACGGTCAGATTTTCCATAGGCCAGTTCTAACATGGATCATAAAATCAATCTAAAATATAATTTAGCAATATTTTGTTTACTTTCCTTGTTTATATTTCAAGGTTTTTTTTTATTTAGTTTTATATGTTCTAAAACATTTTATTTTGACAAATTGATGACATTTATAATACGTAACGTTAATTGTTTTAAGAATTCCCGCCCGAAAATACGGTTGTAATTGCCCGTTTGCGGGTCATTACGCAATGGACTATAGCTTAGAAAATATCATCCTTCAGAAATACACTGTAGCGTGTTGCCCATATATGATCAATTTTCGCTACGGTCAGATTCATTAAGGTCGAATCTGACCGTAGCGAAAATTGGCATATACGGCATTCTGATTGGTTTGCTACGGTCAAACGTAGCAAACCAATCGGAATGGGGCAAATGCTATAGTTTGCTACGGTGGTATGAAATTGGCTACTGCTCCAGAACGATGGAAAATCTGATATTTGTGTTTGGCTCATCAACAACATGCTATTGGGAACCCACAGTACGGTTGTGCGCACTTCGAAATGAAAGCCGTCGTAAAGCTAAAGGATTTATATGCGTCGAGGTAGAAATAAAATCAGATAGTAAAACGAATCATTTCCAGTCAGGTAAGCCTTATGAATGATAAGAGATGCACATTATATTTTAATTTGAGTTTTTACTGTATTCAGTATAGTACTAGTTCGCTATTAACTTCGCTTTATTAAA